GGCCTGACTAAATATGGGAAGGAGCTCGGCCGGCTCTGGTTACCCGGGCTCTTCAGCACCGCCTCGGGGGAGCGGGAGCCGGGCCAGGCCTCGTCGCTGCCCTTCAGCGAGGCGCCGTGCGGGGTCACCCCTGCAGGGTCCTTCTCTCTACCCTCCCACCCCTCCACCTTCTCCTCCCTCCAGGTCCAGCATGCCAGCAAACAGATCACGGCCGAGAAGCAGTACAAAGGCATCATCGACTGCATAGTCCGCATCCCCAAGGAGCAAGGCATCATCTCCTTCTGGAGAGGCAACCTGGCCAACGTCATCCGGTACTTCCCCACCCAGGCCCTCAACTTCGCCTTCAAGGACAAGTACAAGCAGATCTTCTTAGGGGGAGTGGACAGGCACAAGCAGTTCTGGCGCTACTTCGCGGGCAACTTGGCATCCGGGGGTGCGGCGGGAGCCACCTCCCTCTGCTTCGTCTACCCGCTGGATTTCGCCAGGACCCGGCTGGCAGCTGATGTGGGCAAAGGAGCCAGCGAGAGGGAGTTCACTGGGCTGGGCGATTGCATCGTCAAGATCTTCAAATCTGATGGCTTGAAGGGCCTGTACCAAGGATTCAGCGTGTCTGTCCAGGGCATCATCATCTACAGAGCAGCCTATTTTGGGGTTTACGACACGGCCAAGGGTAAGAAGTGCATGGAGAAGTGACCGCGAGGGAAGAGGCATCCAGTAAAGGAACTCCAGGGCGTGTGGTGGTACAAGGACAAGCGGGGCTTGGCTCAGCACCAGTTCAGGGTGCTGGTGCTAGAATATGCACAGGTGTTTCTGAAACGTGTTCCTGCTTCCCTCAACTTGCTGCTCTGAGCAGAAGCCTTGGGTTTGCAGTGCGTTTTCAGGCACTTTCCACTTTCTTTCTCTGACTGAAGGCTTGTACAGATGGGGTTGTATGGTAGCTTGTTTCTCATTGCAGCTCATGACACAAGCCTGGGAGGGTTCTGCAGGGGAGACCTTTTGGTCGGGGAGCATGAAGAGGGCTTGGATCCCAAAATCCAACAGTCCTATAAGCTTGTTTTACTCATAGTACCTGTTAATAGTCAAACATGGATGAAGGGAGAAGTTGCAGGCTTGATTGAGTTGACTTGATTGAGTGGCTCCTGGGGTCGGTGAGTGATTGTTCCTTCCACCAGCCATCTTTCCCACAACCCTTTCCCTCTGTACTGACTCTGCTCATTTGTTCTCAATGACAGGTATGTTGCCTGATCCAAAGAATGTGCATATCGTAGTGAGTTGGATGATTGCCCAGACTGTCACTGCAGTAGCAGGGCTGGTTTCTTACCCTTTTGATACTGTGCGACGTAGGATGATGATGCAGTCTGGCCGAAAGGGAGGTAAGAATAAGTGCTCCTACGGTGTTCTGGTAGTAGAAAGTATCTCTTCATTGAGATATGATGGGAGGTGCTGGGTGGGTTTTGTCTTACGGAAAACTAATGACCTTATTGGAATCCTTGAAAAAAACAGCAGTGTGTTTCCCATAGCTTTTTTTTTATTATTTGTCATATTCACTTAAGAGATTGAGAGTTGATTTCTTTTGATTTCCATGTGGAGAATTAAAATTACTGTTCATTAATTGATTACTTCATTTTAAATTCTTGGCTATAGTTTGCTTATTCCCTGTTGGTTTAAATATATGAAAGTTGAAACAGACTTGCTGTATAACTTTAAGCCTTCTGACTTTTATGTCTGTTTCCGCAGCTGATATTATGTACAAGGGCACAATTGATTGCTGGAAGAAGATAGCTAAAGATGAAGGAACCAAAGCGTTCTTCAAAGGTGCCTGGTCGAATGTGTTGAGAGGCATGGGCGGAGCTTTTGTATTAGTACTTTATGATGAAATCAAGAAATACGTCTAAAACTTAACATCATAATGGTAGTTCAATTGTTCTCCATCAACTTTTTTAAAAAAAACATGCTATTGTGTTGTAATGGACAACAAAATATTTCCTAGGGAAACAGAATAAAATTTATGAGTAACATATCTGGTTGAGATGAGGATGCATTAATTTAAAAATTGTTCACTACACCACAGTTACATTTTTGTATGAAAATTCCTCCAACATTTGTATTGGAACCTGTGTATATATTATACTTCAAATTTCAGGTTATACATTTTGTCTAGAGACAAGATTTAGGTGGTCTACACCTAGTTTAAAATCTAATATTGTGAAATCTTAATAGGATGAGATCTGCAGAAATACCGATTGTACTGATGTCTCAAGCTACCCAACAATGTGATGACATTTATAACATGAATTAAAATCATGTTTTCTTCTAAAGCTGTATTTTTTTTAAGGTGATACCAAGGGAGAAGCATGTCTAAAACCAAACTATAATAAAGCACTAGGCTGAGTTCTTAACTGCAGCCTCTTCACTGATGTATTATACAATCATATGGTTGAAACCATTTTCAAACATACTTTGTAGAATATGGAAATACAGTGTTTCAAAAATGCCCTGTATCTTCACAAAGCAAAAAGTTGTCTGCTCTGATGTTCAATTGAACTAAAACTGAAATAATGAAATAAATTAATATATTAATGAATCTTTTTCCTGTTGTTTTCAGTACACTGAACACATACTAGTGATAGATGTGCTAATCAGCACCCTATTAGTGATTGCTTCTGCCTGAGCCTCTAAAAGTTTTTCAACAGAGCTTTAAGTAGATGGGATGGTTATTGATAATTCTACAATAGCAAAACCAAGTGGATTCAGAGGGTACTGCAGCCAATTGTCTTAAGACCATATGGTCTTAGCTGCTTTGATAATTAATTTATATTACCCTTAACTTTGAAGTAAGTGTGTCTTCATTTGATAGTGAAGTCAGTGCTGTTTATTTTACTTGAGAAAGTATTCTATTCTAGAATACTTCTGAGTTGTTATTGTAGTAACTATACTTCCAGCTACCCCAGTATTAACAACTTGAGTTATTAATTACCAGTGAGATCAGAACATGCTCAATACTGAGGAGTTAAACTTTAGATGCTGCATGGTTGTGAACTTACTGAAGAATAGGCTCTCTGACCAGGCAAAGGAGGGAAAGGGAGTTGTGTCCATTGCAGTTACAAACCTTTGTTTGTTATGTAGCCTACATATCCACCTAGGAAAAGGGGTAAGGCTAAGCAAGTAATACTCAAATAAGCTTTTATTTCAGCTGCATCTTTTACTAATTCATATGTAGAGGTAAGGTGCCTTCATACAGATTTTTGATAACAATTCTGGAATGCCTGTCATTTTTAGTGCCCTAGGGTGAAAAAACCCCTGTGGAAACATAAATGTTAGAATGCACTAGCTGTACCTGAAGGTAAAAGGCTGACGAGTTACTTGTGCTGCTGATTATTTCCCCAGTGAACATAACTGCAGTATTGCTCCAGTGGAGGAGTTATCCGTGCACAAGATAAGACATTCTTGCAGGTGCTGTCACTGCTGTAAGCTGCCTTTCCCTTACAGCTGGTCTCACAGCATTGCTTGTGCGAAAGCTGGAGCAATTCAATATGCAAAACCAAGCCGCTGCAAAGAGTATTACCCCTTGCTTTGTGAAAATAGAGTACCCCAGAGTATAAACGGAACGAGCCTCCCAAAAAGAATGTATTTGTGGACACTATTTTGGTTAATGTTTCATGTGACTATCACAGAACTATCCAGTTACTCTTATGGACACTGAATCTATCATTTTTATAATTGAGTATGCAGATGAGGACTCTGGATTAACCAGTTTTATGACCAGCAATAAATGCTAAGAGAGTAAGCAGTAAGAGCTGAGATTGACACTGTGATCACTTCCAAGTTCTGTGCTTCAGTTTCCAGTTACCCCTTTCCTACATTTGAAATGAATTTCCTGTCAGATGCAGGTAGTCCTACACCTCTCTGTGTGTGTCTGCTCCAGATTCAGACCAGCAGCTCCCTTTCTCCCTGAAGGCAGGTACAAGCTACTAAAACAGTATCTGGAGGCAACACCGATCCACCTCAAGAACTGAAGCATTTGGGAAAAAATGGGTCCAAAAATGATAAATTTAAGTAACTTTTAAAAATAAACTAATTATTTTTTGTCTCATGAAGATGAGTGTCTCTTTCAACCGGGCCATATCATTTCATCTCCCTTCTTTCACAGTCACTATCTTAGATGCTTGTTTTTCTAGATACCCGGTCTGTTTTCTTCCCAGTAGTAAACAACCAGGGTTGCAACCTATTGAACCATGAGTTTGTGAAGAAAATCCTTCTACTGTTTTTCAAAGTGCTTATTGCAGTAGTCTTAGTTAAAAGCTTTACCTGCCAGCTTCTGCCTTTTCTCTTACTTCTCTCCTTCCTTCACCCATTCCTAACGGTTCCTTATGAGAAGCCTGCTAACACACTGCAACTATTAATTTCACATTTACCTGGCTGACAAGGTTGCAGATGGCATCGGGGTGTTTTAGAGAAGATCTAAGGTGGCTGCAAAGATACCAGAGACAATGACAGATTGCAATAAGCAGAGGCACCAAACCTTAGGACGAAGCGTACGTGTGAATGAGCAATGACAGAATTAAAGGAAGCGAAAGAAGTTACTGTGTTCCAGGGGAAAAAAAAAAAGGCAAAAACCAAAGGAGGAGTAAAGGCTATTAAAACAGAGAGTGAGTGGTATCAGTGCAGGAAAATTCCACTGAGGGAAGAGACAATACATGAAATAACAGATACGGAAAACACAGGTAAAAGGGCTCTTTATTTCTGCTTGAATGCTTACGCACATGCACACCCTGTGGCAGATTCCAGGCAGTACTCTCCATAAAGATACTTGGGGTCAGAGTTTGAAACTGTCAATGAAATAACCATTCACCTGAAAGCAGCCCTGCACTGAGTCTGTGGCGCTCGCCCTAACGCTTGCTGAAAGCATAACCTAAAATCCAGCCATCGGCTCTGCAAAGCTGGAAAATAGAGGACTTCACAGAGAGTCTCCACTCACCCTTTGAACTCCGATCAAATGAACCCTGGTTGTCACAGCCAATTGATACCACTGCCCCAGTCCTTCTGCACCTTTGCAATAGTTAGTCACAGGCCAGCTATGCAGGCAAAGGCCTCCATCAAACCCGTTATACCCTTATATCTTACACTTGAACACTGGGAAACCTGCCCAGAATAGACTGGTAATACATCCTAATACAGAAAGCCAAAGCCCACCTACCGTGTGGCATATACTGTAGTGCCCAGCTCTCAAAGGATGCTACCTGAGAACTGAGGTACACTGGTCTTTGGGATGAGATGAAGTTTGGACCTTCAGGTGTCTGAAAGACAAACCCGTTATCTACAGAGCATAGCCTAGTGCAGAGAGTGGGAGGGGGAGAATCTACAGCAGCAGATTCAATCTTTCCCAGCTCCACTCTCTGCCCTAAACTTGCCATGGAAGAAGCAGGCATCAGTTCTTTAAAAGCCATAATGAAGAGCTTAAGACATGGTGAGAAGCATAGCAGAAGGAAAAAACCTTGCTAAGTTGTTCAAAAATCAGAAGAAAACCCTACCTGCAGAGACACTACAGTTATGGTTACTGGATGATCTCAGCTGGAGATGGAGAGTCCCACTAGCCAACCCAGGATGTCAGGGAAAGAAGCATCATGCCCCTGGTGCCAAGTATCAGCCACCTGTGTTCCTCTTGTGAAGTCCCTCTCACTTTAAACCAGAAAAATCTTTCAATAGCCTGTTCTAGCCCCAACAGCCACTGTGTGGAGAGAACCGAGACCTGTTATTTTTGTTCCAAGCTCTGACCACATGTAATGCAGTGGAGAGAACTATGATTTTTGTACACAATCAGAGCCCAGAACAAAAATCGTGGTGATTATTCACTCTGTAGTGAATAACACAGGTGGTCCTGGAACCAGAAGTGACAGCTATAAGGATCAATGTTGCCAAATCTGGTCTCATCTTGGCCAGGAGAGTTACCAGGAGATACATAGTAGCTTTCTTCACCAAGGTATTTGAACCATGCAACCTGAAAACAAACCAGATCTGTATCACAAGCATTAGCGATCCCTGCCAAAATCTGAAACACAATGACCTCAACATAATTTCAGTCCTGGAAGAAGGTTCCACATGCAGCTTTATATTTCCGTATTTCCTCATTCACTGGGTGACAATGACATGGTTCATCCACTATTTTGCTCAAGACTTTGAGCAGGTAAACACCAAAGATGTATTTAATGTACTGCGTTCATAAGATACACCACTTTGGTACCGAAGGAGTCTTTTCTTCCTCATCATTTGTCTTGTTGATATATCACTGTGTATTCACCATCACCTGCGTACGACAGTCAGGACCACACAGCTAGTAGACTTGATGTAAGTCACTGCCCTCATCTCCATCACACTGATGCGCAGACTGCGCTCCAGGGAAAACCACAAGCTCCCATCTGCCAGATGACTCAATGAGCTGCCCAGGTTGGGAAGGCAGGAAGTTACTTTTTTCTATTGACCACAAAAGAAAAGCACTGGGATAAAAATGTTACTGGTGATCCATTAGAAAAAAAAAGTGTCTCAGGCTTTTTACAGGGGTTTATCCTGAAACTCATTAGATGACAAATCAGGAAAATACAGTCCAATGTAAAGTCTACATGCATCTATGGAAGAGATATAAATCCAGCCAGCCATTTGATTTAGGACAATCAGACAAACCCTCATCTGAGTGGCACGATGACAGCAGAGATGCCTCAGGATCTTCAGTAAAGACTGGAAGCAACCTGGCTCTGGCACAGGGGAAAGCCTATACATTCCATACGAGGAACAGCCTTGTGTCATTATCCCAAATTCACTCGAGTCTCTTTGGTTCACTAAGATTAAAACGGAGTTCTAAAGGATTCGGTGGTCTGCTTGGGAAAACACCCCTCACATGTCACCTATCCAGACAGGGATGTACCATCGCTCCCTGTTCTTCTCATACAGTCAATGATCCGAGCTAGGGCCTTCTTTAACACCTTCAGTATTGTACAAAGACCCCCAGAACCCCATCATGGAAGAAAAGGAGCCCACGATGAGGCAGAGACACTTCCAGAGCAAAAACATGACAGAGACATCAGGGTCCGTTTCTCATAGTAGTGAGTTCAATACACCAGTGCAGTCACCCAAACTGGCAATCCTGTCACTTCGGCAGGGACATCGGCTCCTACCTGAAACCGTGTGTCAAACCAGTGTGGCAGTTCACTTTAAGGAGAAAGCAAAGCAGCTTGAGCTTTTCTTTCAAAGAGATCTTCTGGAGGGGAAAAAAAACCAAAAGAAAGTAGAAGAGAACATAAAGCGGCAGCTTACAAAAGACAGAAAACAAGTCTATTAGAAACAGGATTTTTTGCTACAAAAATCTTGATGAGATTGTCTAACCTAATGAAGATCTGTCAATATGGCTTATTTTAAAAAAATCCACAAAGTCACTAACAGGTAAAGTGTATCGATGAATAAACTAATTCTTTGCATTTTCCTCCACTACGTGTAGTACAAAGCATTTCTCCCATGACCTCCTATGCGCTTTAATACCAATTATAAAATTCTAAAAGAAGCCACTGCAATGAAAAACAATTCATGTTAAATATTTTATTTCTTATGATTTACAAAAATGACATACAAAATTGACAGTCTTTCATAACAAAGTTAAATAAAATAAGATGAAGCAATTAAAAGTAATCAATTTCGTGAATTCCTTCACAGAAAAAAAATATCGTATGAACATTCAGAAGTATTTAAACTGTGACCCTGATATTAACATTCAAGGACAAAAATCTTTAAATAGTGAATAATTTTAATTAGCACAATAGTACAAATAAATAAAGCAGCACTATGCAAACAACTCCTTACAGTCCCTATCAATGAATAATAATTGCAATAAAAATCTGTTTGCCACAATGCTGCTTAAATTTAAAAGTTCAGATATTGTCAAACAGCTAAATTTGATCCGCAGGTCACCAGGTGCAGAAGCTCTGCCAAACTATCACACAGGACCAAGTAAAAAGTTTGTTACAATGCAGAGTACCTGAAAGCCTAAGCCCTCATGCAAGCACGAGCAAAGAATAATAAACTTTCCTGTTCATAGGGCTGAGACCCAGCATTACCGAATACAGCTTTTTATTTCTTTTTTTTTCTTTATGCATAATACAAAGAGATTTGCTGTATCTCTCCTGGGAAGAAGCTGGGGAAGCAAGCAGGGTTCCTGCAATATCCATGGACAGTGGCATCACAATTTATGCTCCTTATAAGACTACAGTCCTACAAAATAAGCTCACTGAACGTTTGCCTTTATGTATAGAAATAAAGCACACCACCTACTATTTGCAATTACCAATTCCATTAAATTTTGCTCCCCTTGTAAATGGATGTTGCTACCGAAGCTTATCTGACACTACTAAAAATATTTGGTATGAACATGACATTAAAAAACAGGTTAAGTATAACAAGATTTTCTGTTTTCTACTGTCTTTTTTAAAAAAAAAAACAAAAAACAAAACAAACCTGGTTAGCAGTCGCTCTCAAAATCAGACCTTCAAGTTTCCTGCAGCTCAAGTTTATATCTTCCCACCAAGAAGGGCAAGGATCTGCAAAAGCAGGGCCATAAAATATTCCCCTTGCTTAGTATTGTCTAGCTCGAGAAGTAACTAAAACCTACTCTTGTTTAGAGTGAATCTGAAACTGTTGTTCACTTCAATCTTTATTCTTGTTCAAATAGCATCAGATTCTTCTTTCCTACACAAAGGTCCCAATACGACTTCCAAAATTCTTTTAAATCTGGAAGAGATGCAGCCTTGAGTACAAAACAAATGTTCAACACCTGGAGTGCAAGAGAGGCAGAACAACATCTTCTGCAGCCTCAGTATTCTAGCTAAACATTCAGGAATACACCATCTGCTTTTCATTCCTTCAAGCTGCTGTAAAAGGAAGATTCTTTCAGTCATAAGAACATGACCCGCAAAGTTCAGAGGGCTTACCTAAAGCCAGGATGAAAAACAAGGACAATCTAGGACTTAAGCATATGCTTATGAATTTAATGTAATCTCTTAAAATATTTAATATTTGCTTTACATCTTGCGCCTATAGTGCAGCAATTCTGTCCTTCCATGTTATGTATACAAATCCCACTTACGATTTGAGAATAAAATAGTAATTAGCAATTTCTATTTGACTTGTCCGTTTAAATACCTCCTTCTCTTTCATATGTTCTTCCTGTCAGGAAAACACTGACTTAAAACCATATTATAAGCAATTATTTCATACGCAATGCATTTTAATCACTGAACAATGCAGAAAATATTTTTGCACATAGAATTTACAAAAGCACTAAAAATAGAAGTCTGAGGATCATCTCAGAATGTGAGGCAAAGAACGCACTTATAGCCAAGCAGCACGAACATTAGTGGGTTTAGGTCTCTGTAACGCCCCGCTGGCTGGATCGGACACAGGTTTTTCATTCCTCTGGCTCATTGTACTTGGTACAGCGGATGCTCTTGAAGTGCCTCCTGTTAACACACACACACAAAGAGTGAGAATCCTTATGCTTGTTACAACAGAAAACTTCATGCTTTATTAGTACTACAACACTCGTTACCATAGTTTCCAGAAAAAAAAAAAAACAACAAATCACAGTAAGTTGAATACAAACCCAAAATGTTACAAATTGTTTGTAAATGGTCAGGACAAGGAATTCAAGCCTATGACATAGTGCTGTGGTTCTTTAACCTAACATGTATGGATCTATCATAGAATCATTATGGTTGGAAGAGACCTTTAAGATCACCAAGCCCAGCCATTAACCTAGCACTGCCAAGTTACCACTAAACCATGTCCCTCAGCACCACATCTATATGTCTTTTAAATGCCTCCAGGGATGGTGACTCAACCACTCGATTGGGCAATGGGGACATATGAGGGCATAAGATCTACTTTCAAATATTACACGCACAATTTCTAAGAGAAACAAGGCTACTATCAGTAGATTTACATTTTCTGAACGAGAATGTGAAACTTCTTTGGGGTTTTTGTGTTGGTTTCTTTTTCTTTCTCTTCTCCTTTCAATAAAGGGTGCTGGCAAAATGAGAAATACTTCTTTACAACAGTGATTTTTTTACCTTCTTGGAAAAGATGACTAACAAGATAATTTATTAGAAATTTAGGATGGTAAGTAAACAATTAATGCGGTCACCATACTTTTGGTTTAAAAAAGAATGATAAAAAAAATCACTTCAATGATTTCTGTGTGATAAGTGATCAATCTAAGAATGGAACTTATTTGCTATTCTTAGCAGTAAGTGCTTCACAAATCTGAATTATAAAAAGATAAACACACGCAAAGAAATGCAAGAATCTGCAACTTCAAAGTACTTACTGGAAGGACTAAGCTGGCTCAAAGCAGATTTTCCTCTTCTTACAGATGGAGAAGAATTTAGATAACTCATCTGGCGCTGATAGTCCATCAATTGTTCAGAACGCCTCATACCAGCTGTTGGTTTCACTGCTTCCAGTCTTTTCAGGAAAGCCTTAATATCAAAGAAAAATATCATCAAGAAAGAGAAAGGATCAATGAGGAGCTACAAATCAAACATTCACAACTGCAAACCCCCCCCCCAAATTTTTAGCGTTGCACAACACGAACGCCTCCACTGGTGACCGGCACAGGCTGTTCTGCTCACATTCAACTTTTTTCCCCTCAATGTTAGAAGATGAGACAGATTCTAAGTGTCCCTTACATATCATCAATTCTATGCTCAGTACATCTTTAGTACCCTATAGTTCTCTGTACTTCATGATAACTTGAAAAAACACATCTGTTTGGTGATAGAAAAGGTGGTGGGAAGATGGGCTGTGGTCTTCTAATCCTACCTTTGGTTACTCCTCTTTTCTAAATTTCTGGAAGGATGAAAAGCTGTTTTTTTTAATCTTTGCAAACATACTTAGATTATTTTACATTGCCCTACAGGATCGCCAGAGAGAATCACTGACCTCAATTCTGTGAAAATAATGTCAAAAGGAAAGCACAAACATCCACCAGATGCTATTTGTTTTATCACAGAATGGTCAGGGTTGGAAGTGCCCTCTGGAGATCATCCAGTCCAACCCCCCTGCCAGAGCAGGGTCACCTACAGCAGTTGCACAGGACGACGTCCAGGCGGGTTTTGAATGTCTCCAGAGTGGGAGACTCCACCACCTCTCTGGGCAGCCTGTGCCAGTGCTCTGCCACCCTCAAAGGAAAGAAGTCCCTCCTCATGTTTAGATGGAACTTCCTATGTTCAAGTTTGTGTCCATCACCTCTTGTCCTATCCCTGGGCACCACTGAAAAAAGACTGTTCCCATCCACCTGGCACCCTCCCTTTAAGGATTTATAAACATAATGTAGTTTTAAGAGATTCTAGTTGAAATTATTGTTATAGACATAATTTCCTTGTTGAAATTAACTCTGGCAATCATGCTGCAAGCATTAAATTAGAACAGCTACTTAGTATTTGTAAGATACAGACAGTATTCTGCATAGCTACTTCTACTTGAATTGGGATTAAGAAATTTCCATAATCTAAAGAGAACCTGATGGCAGGACAGATTTGGAAGTACCCAGCTACATACCACTTCCAGTTAACAGCTTCCCATTTTTAATATATTTTGCCTCTAGTGCTTACCTTGCATAGATCTATACATTCCCTCTGCTAATTTAAATTCATTTCATGGCCTACAAACATTTGGCAATGACAAAATCAGTCCAGGTCAGGGTTGTGACACGCATCCTATCAATGAGAGACAACGCTAACTGTGATTACACAAGTCCCCAAAATACTAAAAAACCCTCTGTTAATAGGGATGTATTGTCGAGATACATACTTAAACAGCAAAGCCAAGAATCTGTCTGTATAGCCACTAAACTGCACTTTGTATGAAACATCATTCTTCCCCACTCCCAATCAGGTAGTGATTATTCTTTATTAAAAATAAAACTTAAAAAAAAAAGTCACTTAATAAAGTAAGTGACTTAGGAAATAATATAGTATTCACAGGATGTCAGCTGTCATTGTCTAGCTGTAATAGGAATCTACAAACTCTTGGTAGTTCATGCGCGGGCACTGGAAACCTGCACAGAGTGCACAAGGGAGAAAGGACAAGTGATTTTGGCTCAGACATAATATGTCACAAGTGCTTGCATCAAGTGCCAGTCAGTTCATCGTCAAGTGGAAATACCTAAGTAAGCAAAAGTCAAAGGAAGGACTTCAGCTAGAAATAGCTCTTCACTAAAGCCAGTTGCAGAACATGAAATGGTAGACTTGCCTCTAAATGTTACATCCAACATTTTATTCACAACTTCATCCATATCTCCTAATACAACTACATACGTTTAGACGTGCAGGGATCACTTATTTACCTTCAATATTAAAAATGAAAGCTCTCAATATGTTCAGCTTAATCACAAATGGATCGGGTAAATTGTAGGAGTGACTTTCCTATGAGAGTTCAGCATGTTCCAAGTCTGCACTCCAACTCTAATAGCCTCATAGAATTTGCATACCTTAACACTGCAGTAATTTCAAGACTGATTCTGAATATAAAATATCTATATGTGCCTGTTTTATCCTAGTTTAAATGCAATTCCCTGCTTTTGCTTTTATGCCTGTATTTTGACAAGTATCAAGTCCCCATTACTAATGCAAAAAAAAAAAAAAAAAAAGAGAGAGACTGACCTCTCTTGGTACTTAAAACATTACTTTTTGAACAGGTTAACACTGGACTTGATACAGCCCTGAGCAGATATAGATTCTGTGGTGCAGAAGTGTTCTAAGAAAAGCTCTTCTAGAGAATGAGAGAATAGCTCCTGTGGTTCCCTTGCCCTCTGCTGCAAATTGTACCAAGGGCATGTTAACTTACACGCTATTTGCAGCCATGGATTCCGCAGTTTGGAGAATGGCCTGCTGCATACAGAAATGAACTCATCAACACATTGAAATGGCAGTCCTGACCTACTAAATCTGTAACCCGGAACTAATCCCATTCTTATGTTTTTATTACCGACTCTACAATCTTGAGGTCCTTAACCAAGGAACTACCTCGTACAATGGTACAAGTACCTTGAACAAAAGTTCTTTTTCAATTATACACATAAATCTACTAATTCTTTCATTATGTTCTCCTTTTGAGAAATGGCCTGAAGAACACTGCCACTTTCCTTGTTCTTTTGACGTGCTAAATCTCTGGAGCCTTAATCCTGCACCACTGAAGTAAATAGAAATTTTGTCATTGATCTTAATGACCAAAGAATCAGATCACATAACATAATCTAGGTGTTCAGAACCAAGTACAAGTGCCTGATCAGACTTAAGGAATAAAATAAATAAATTAAAAAAAAAAAAAAGAGTAACAGACACCGATGGCAGGAATGTCATTAGGTGCTCCAAACTGCACTGCAGCTCCTCAGAGCTCTTGAACCAAGCTCAATACATGTATAGTATCATATCATTGATGACCTCCCAGCTTGGAAAAAGCCTCCCAAGGCTTTTATTTCCCCCATCTTCTTTTACTTTATTATAATGCTGAGTTTACAATAAAAGTAGAATAATCATAGTAAAAAGAAAAAGAAAAAAATCCTAGAAGTTGTTCCTGCACGATTGCCTTCTAGGAATAACATAATCCCTTGTAAATTTAGGCATCTGGACATAGATTAGTATCTATAAAGACACTAAAATACATATTGTCAATGACAGAAGGAAATGTCAGATTGCCAACAACTGGAGAACAAAGGAACCCAACACTGTATCAAAAGATTGCTGCTACACAATAGACCACGATAAATGCTGCTAATTCAACTTCGGGCATATCAGGAGAGCCCTAAAGCTAATTCTAATGTTCTCTCTCAGAAAAAGGAAAAAAAAAAAAGTATCAGTACAAACTTTTCTGTAGCTATGTCGAAAAAGCAAGAAAAAAAAACACTGAAAATGCAGCATGCCTAAACCGAGTTCAGAGTGAAGGGAAAAAAAACGTGACTTTTTCTTGTTTTACTTTACTTTTTAAATGCATGAAGGCTTCAGTTTCACCTCCTTTGAATCCCAACCAGCTGACTAGCGTGCCTTGACAGCTGTTCAAATTTATTTATATTATGCCTCCTCTAATGTCACTGATGTTAGTGACCACACTGTCCCTTTGCAGAGTCCAGGTGGGGGAGGGGGAAGTAGATAACTGCATTCAAGGACAGCTTTCTGTTCTTATCAATACAAGAATTAGTCATTTTCTTCAATTGCCAGTTGCATAATCGGCTCTACCCTGACAAACTCCAAGTGTCAAAAAAGGCTTAAAATTCTTCCATTTACAGAAAAGTCTTTTAAACTGAACAGCCATCAAGTTTACATGCGGCTGGCATCACCACAAAGAAAGAAGGCTAAAAGTACAAAACAATATCCCACAAAATTGAGCAGCGTGCAAAATAACCAAAACTTTCCTTAAACCTGCCAATTAGTCAGTCTTTATTACAATTACCACAGCAGCATTCAGGAATCTCGAGTCCAGGTCAGGAATCAGCAGACCACAAAAAAAAAAAAATCTGATCAAAGAGCCTATAGCCTAAATACTATGATCACAGAATCGCACTATATTTGAACTGTACTGCAGTATATTTTAGCCAGGCACATCTGCATTCAATCCCACATCCCAATAGCTTCCCCTGATGAGAGGGCTATAGAAGCATCATTTTTTTTTTGCGTTGCACTTTGTAATCTCAGGAAGTACCAACATTTTGTCTTTAGTCTTGGCATACAATGGCTTTGAACCCAGTAAGTGAAAATATCTTATAAAACCCTGTGTGCTTGAATTTCTAAGGAGCCACCAACCCAACATGAATATTTCTGAGCTCCTAAGAGGACCCAGAAGACTACATTCTCTTTCACAACTGCATTCAGTTTGCCAATGATCCCAAGCTGTTTGGTGAGGTAGACATGCTGGAGGGGAGGGATGCCATCCAGAGGGACCTGGACAGGCTGGAGAGGTGGGCCCAAGCCAACCTCATGCAGTTCAACAAGGCCAAGTGCAAGGTCCTACATCTGGGTTGGGGCAATCCCAAGCACAAATACAGGCTCGATGGGGAATGGCTGGAGAGCAGCCCTGAGGAGAAGGACCTGGGCGTACTGATTGACCAGAAGCTCAGCATGAGTCAGCTATGTGCAATCGCAGCCCAGAAGGCCAACCAGATCCTAGGCTGCATCAAAAGAAGCGTGGCCAGCAGGACAAGGGCGGGAATTCTTCCCCTCTACTCTGGTGAGACCCCACGTGGAGTACTGTGTCCAGCTCTGGAGACCCCAACATAGGAAAGACATGGACCTGTTGGAGTGGGTCCAGAGGAGGGCCACAAAGATGATCAGAGGGTTGGAATACCTCTGCTATGAGGACAGGCTGAGAGAGTTGGGGTTGTTCAGCCTGGAGAAGGCTCCAGGGACACCTTATAGCCCCTTCCAGTACCTAAAGGGGGCCTAGAGGAGAGCTGGGAAAGGACTTTTTACAAGGGCCTGTGACAGGATGTGGGGGAATGGCTTCAAACTGGAAGAAGGTAGATTTAGATTACATATTAGGAAGAAATTTTTCACTCTGAGGGTGGTGAGGCACTGGAACAGGTTGCCCAGGGCAGCTGTGGCTGCCCCATCCCTGGGGGTGTTCAAGGCCAGGTTGGACGGGGCTTTGAGCAACCTGGGCTGGTGGGAGGTGTCCCTGCCCAGGGCAGGGGGGATGGAATTCTATGATCTTCAAGGTCCCTTCCAACCTGAACCATTCTGTGATCCCCCACAGCTCTCTCCTCTGGACTGAGGCTAGTAAGGCTGAAAAACCTCAGTATTCTTTCTGCAACCACTTAAGTATGCAGCATCCAAGGCCTGATGCTCTCAGACTCTGGGGCTGATCCTTGGGGACAGGACAAAGGGAAGGCAGAGAAAAAGCAGTGTGGAGTACCTTGTGGGTGGAAAGCACAAGGCGTCCGGCCACAATCCTGATGGACCAGTGCTCTCCCCCTGTGTTTCTTTCCATGCCTAGAAGTTATATCCCTGGTTGTGGCAGGACACGGATGGCAGGGCAGGCGCAGCACAGCACAGGATTGAAGGCTGTGGCTCAAGAAAAGGTATATTCTTTATTCTTCTATATTCAAGAAAAGGTATATGCCGGTTAGGGGCATGGCCAGAGGCACTATCCCTCCCTTGCCCTTTTCTGCCCATCCAATTACCACAGCCCATCAGCACCATTACATCAAGTGGAGACAAATAAATATACATTCATATATAGCAGTACAGTACTTGCATTTCTAAAGGAGGTTCAGGTTTTCCAGCAAGACAAAAGCAACCCAGACTACAAGAGAAGGGAAACAGTTTGGCTGCAGGATCTTTGTGCTGGTAGAGGCCACAATGACTAGAGCAAATGGTGGGGAGAAGCATTAATGACATCTGCAGTGCAGATGACTCAGGGAACCCAGCAGGTAAAAAGAGAAAGACACCCCTTGCAGAGAAATACAGTAAATCATTTATTTTATTCATATGGGAGAGTGATTATACTGGAACTGGGATCACAGTTGGATCTTTTGAGGCTCAGGGTGCATTTTGGAGGAGTATAAGGTGGGGGAATTAACAACATGGAGTGTTATGTGCGGTGAGTCATAACAGCATGGGGTAGGTAGAATGCACAGGGATGCGTAGGAAGACCAAATATCCACAGAAAAGAAGAACACCCTCACCCTCCTTGATCTAAGGTTTGAGAACTGCTGTCTCAGACCTTCCAGTGAGCTTCCAGTGTGAACTCAAAAGGTCACTTGCTCCCTAGGAACTTGTCTGAACACAGCAGCTTAGCTTACTAAGGTCATCTAACACCTAAATCCTAGTCAGAATTAACAAAAATTATGAAAGCACCCCAACAAAAAACCAACACAGATATGAATTACTTCTAAGTTTAGATTAAGTGACTGATGAATGGTGTGGTGGCTGCAAACCTGTATTTCAAGGTCCCCAAATACTTACCTGTATAGATTTTTGCATCACACAACAAACCATTAGAAGTTTAAATGTTGCGTAGCGTGCAGTCTATGAAGTTGAGTATCTTCTTTATACTAGCAGAAATAGTGATTAATATGTCAACACATAGAGACTCACATATGCAGACATGGGAAAAAATAAAACATCAGTCACACTTATGTCCCTTTCCACTGGAGAAGAGATGGGGTTGAGTATCTTCAAACACAAGAGCAGAGTGTTTTCTGAATCAGCAGCATCCTCTATTGGCAAGAGATGCACTCTGGTCTTGCTAGCTCAGATAAGCAATCAAAAGCAGGTTCCATTTATAGAAGCACACAGTCAAAAGCAGCAAGTACAAAATTCTGACATTAATTCTAACAGCTATCTATTTGCTAATTGTGCTTTGTCTATAAATTGCTAATCACTACCTTATAACTACCGTTCTTCAGAGCAATGCACCTTTTTGTTCCATCATAGCTCTTTCTAGCAGAGTCTGTGGGGGCAACATATATTCCCTGTACCTCCTTGCACCCTTTTCACAAAGCTAGAGAGCACCAAACTGGTTAGATTCCTCTCTAATTTCCTAATATTTTAATTACTCTCCCTGCATCACCTCTGATGCCAAATGCCTGCGCCAGAAATCAAGCTGTCTTTCTGATAACGGTAAACATAGGCATTGCTCCAAGAATGTTCTAGCAGAACAAATAAAAGCTTTCCCTAGACAAGGTGTTAATCTCAGGACAAGAAATTATAAAAGCTGTAATCCAACAGAGGGAAAAAAAAATAAATAAATCTCTCTGCATGAAAACTCTTTAACCCCCTGCACAGACTACTGTTGTAGATTTCTATTCTTGAATTATTTACAAACCCCTGTGTCCTTCTCCAACTAACATTTCACAAAGGTGTATCAAGCAGCATATCCCATATGCATTATCTCAGGCCTTGTATAAAAAAAAGATATTCCTGTCAAGTAATAGAAGAAAGATTGATAAGAAAGTTCCATGGAATTGCAGCTCTGCAGTCTACAAAGGTGAAGAAAACAAGTTCATAAAGCACATACTTTTAGCTATACAAAGCAAAAAGACCCTCATCAATGGACAGGGTATGGCAGCTCTTTCATTTACAGTCTCTGAGAAAAGCATGTCATATTTGTAATCCCAAGAGGCAGTGCTAGAAAAATCAATGCGTTACAAGTGTGATGATCTAGGTGCACATAGACTTCAAACAGAATAAAAAAGTAAACAGAATTGCTCAAAAATTACAGCAATGTTAAACAAAACATAAGAGCTGTATTGATGAATCATTCTTTCAAAAAGAGAAGAGTATATCATCCTCAGATTGGAGGAAAGAATAAACCAATGTTTTTATAGTCTAAAATAGCATGATGTCCTCAAGTAAATTTTAAGGAATGGTTCTGATGTCAAACATGTCCACTGGTGTTGCCGACAACAACTAAAGCATAAATGAATAAGTAAATGAAGGGTATTATTTCTTGGACTACAAGCCACCACCATTAATCTCTAACATGTACTAAAACAGCAAGGTGTGAATGACCACATGTATTTAGGTTTGCTGAATGTTTGATCCAAAAGTTGCAAAGGCAAGACATTCTTGGACAAAATATGGCAATCCCGTAAGAGAAAAGATTTGTGACTTTGAGTAAACAGAAGCGTATTGTAAAATACCATATACGTTAACTTACGGTAATCATCTATTGTTATGTAGTACAGCATGTTACTGTTTTTAGGTTATTATGACACAGCACTTCCTCCCCACAGCTTAACAATACGCTCTTATTATCAAGGTTCATGTGGAAGAGCAAGTCCTGCTTTCAACATTTTAAATAAAACTAAAAAAACACCCCCCCAACACCTTAAGAAAGCCTTCCTACCAACCTAAAACCACTGAAACCTAAAAACATTTCTTCCCCAGACAACGAGAAGTATTGCACATCTTTAACAAGTATTTATGCCAAATTCTTTCAGTTGTGAAGTATAATGTTCTTTTGGTCAACTGTAGTCCAGTGGAGCTAGGCAGGAAGTTTCCTACTTTGAAAAGTTTTAACAATTTCGATGTATGAAAGCTGGAAGACCTAAAACCTAAAAGATTTTCCTGAATAAGTAGATTAGACCGTCTTCATGTTGAACCTGTATCTCTGTCTATCTACATGAAAGGAAATTGCAACTTACACAGAAGAAAAACATGAATAAGTTACTTCCACTATAAATTTTCCAAATATTTTAACTATATTTCATGTCTGTTTCAAACACACTAATGAACAACTAGGAGATACAAAACTGTCATTATATGTATTACAATTAATTCACTAAAAATATCTTACTCAAACCAGCATTATTTTTTTATTTGACAACGTTGACAATATCCTTGTAAAAGAATCTGAGTTTCTGTTTTCCACTGAAATTAGTTATTGTGATTGCCATTACATTCAAATACTGTGACAAGCAGAGTGCTACAAACATTGAAAGAGACAGACAGCTATAAAATTAGTTAAAAAAACTGCACATTGTATCCGCTGTATTTCAAATATAATGGGTTTGATGATACCATATTGATTGCTTTTTCTTTTTTGAAAGCCTGTTCTTGACTCATAATCATACTGCATGAAGCAGGATGAGCAGAGTCAGACTGCTACCCAAAGTTATGAACGTGTTAATGCTAATTATCGTTCCTCTTAAATTGAGTGATATTAAAGCAGAGCAAACTCATATAAACTAAAATCATTTTTCATCTGAAAAAACATCATTCCCCCAAACACGCGAACAATTATGCAAACAGCATAGTAAAGGAAATTCATTGCAGCAAAGCTGCAAGTACTGCCTTATCAGCTTTTTGCAGTAGTTCATCTGACAACAAATAGTCCTTCTCAATTGACTGATCCAAATCAGTTGTCAAAACTTACCAGGTTTTCTCTTTCAATTCTTTGCTGCTCCCTTTGCCTGTTGAGGGCACTGTGGTACAATTTAGGAGGTGGTACAGCTGATTTCTTCAGCGTGGTACTTCTTCTTGGCTTTGCAGACTGTCTGGACAGTTCTTTTAGCAACCTTTGGTTTTCTCGATCAATCTGTCTTACTTCTTCATTTGTGAAAGAATAATTTTTTCTTGTTCCTTTAGATGGTTGATCGATGGTTAGTTTTTGTTCTTTTTTCTCCAACTGTAGGAAAGCTTTAAAATGGCAAAAAGTAAAATACTCAGATTAAAAAACCAAACCAAAATACAAAACTTGCATTCCATTATTGGGATTTTTTTTTACAGACCTGAAAACACAAGGTACATCTCACCTCCCCCCATCCGAATTCCAGATTTCTGCATTTCAGAATTTTTCAAAGATGCTCAGTTGTCTTCAGTACATTGATTTTACACATTTCACCACAAAAATCAAGTCTAATTTTGGCCTTACTTAAGATCCATCTGCTTCCTTCTCACTAGGAATCCCCTTCTTCCCCATTTACGTCCAGTAATCCAGAGGAATTGAACAGATGCAGCAGACAACTGAGCAATACAAAAAAATCAGCAATATGCACACAGACACTCTGTAAGCATTTGTGTAGAATATAGCTGTTACTCAGAATATAAATCAGCCTTATGTGCGCAGTCATTTCTTCTGCATGGTCAGCATCCCGCTTTGACTCTGATCACCCTGATCTCCACCTTTACCAGTACACTTGCCCAACTTCTACATGGACACAATATGCTCAGACTTCCATCCTCAAGTATTTTTACTGTTGTTGCTATGGTACCAGCAATCAGAAAAGGCAATTATATATATATATGCTAACAGGGCTACCGTATACAGCACTAAAGCAACACTGAATATAATCATCATCACAGTGGTATCATTTGTGCCACCAATATAAGCAGAGAAGTTTTCCAAGCAATGGAAAACACAGCTTCAGGAAGCCAAGACTAGAAATAACTTGCAGAACCAAAAATTACACCATAAATGAGTATTTAGATGTTTGCACAAGGGAAGAGATTTAAACTTTGCTCTAAGATGTCTCAGCTGAGAGGCAGAACAGAACTGATGTTTCAGACAGAAAACTGACTCTGGGGAAGCATGACTCAGATACAAAATGCATTTCCTGAAGTGATTTTGTTGATCCTTTGCTCCTGAAGTGAACCTACATCATGTTGGTGCAGGAATTGCAAAGGGAAAGATGAAAATTAAATGTAATGGATGGAGAGAAATGAGTGAGCATATATAACAAAAGAAAAATTTCTGGGGCCTGGCAATTTAACACAGTAAGAAACCCAACAAATTAAAACAGGATATGAGGATTCAAGTCAAAAGAACAAAGAATGCACACTTAAAAATACACAGCAAGACAGACTTGCACAATTGCAAGATAAGATAATAACTGGAAAACTTCACTCTCAGCCAGAGTCAGCCATGTTTATTATGGTTCCGCTGGAGCTTTGCTATTGACCTATTTCTAAGCTTTTGCTTTCTAAAGCTCTGCAGTATATCTTCTGGCAACTGTCTTAAGACTTTGCTGTCATGGGATTACCTCAAACCACTGCATTATCTATGGTACAGGAGTGGCGGTACCAGGTTAGATCAAACAGATTTTTGGAGCTGACACACAGAGGAGGAAGCCTTATGCAAGCCATTCCCCACACTCCTCCAGTATCCCAGTGCCTCCAGAAGATACCCCTCACTCTTACCCCTAAAAGTCCCACAACACAAGCAAAACAAGCACCCAAAGCAGAAGGAAAAAAAAACAAAGACAAACAGGCATGCAGTAATATTTCCTCAACAAACACTTCCACATCAGCAAGTAGGATGTCTAAGACAGCCTGTGATAGCTTAAAAACCTCAAAGAATGGTAAGCATGTTCTTACTTCAAAACAAAATGAAATGAAATCTTTCTTGCAGTATCTCAACTCAGTTTATTCCAGAATTGATGCAAGCATATATTGCTACTGTCTTTGAGAAAATTAGAAACAGTATCCAGAACTCAAAATCCAAACAGTTCATGAATTTCAAAATCCCTCTGGAAATTAGTAAGCTTGCACCATCACTACACTAGCCAATATAGGCAAGAACTGCCCCCAGACAGCTCTAACCATAAGGCCGTTCACATTAGCAAATACTGTTTTAATTTGTCAAGAGAAAATGCAAATCACCTCAAAACCAAGACACAATGCAAACTAGTGCAGATCAAGTGTGCCACCCAACAGGTTAATAAAGTACAAATGTATTGAAAAGCATCTTCACAATTTAGTAAGTTATCCTCAAGGGAAAACTAGTACAGCCATCAACACCATTTGAGGAGACAAACCTGGGACGAGACTCATCTGGAAACACCTAAAAGGGATAAATAGAAATGCACAGAAAATAACTAGAGCCACACAATTCACACGGTAACATCAAGCTGCAGTGTACCTCTCCATTAAAAATAATTAAATATGTCCTTAAGGGAACATGCAAAACCAGCACTGGAGAACACTGCTAGAAGAAAGTAACATGAGCAACCATCTGAAGACAACACGTATTTCATATCACATTACATTACTGATAATTGTATTATTAGGAAGCTATGAAAGATAATTTCATCTTTTGCCTTACATCCATAGCATCTCACGGGTTAAACCAGACTGCACATCATATGCAAGAGTGGAAATCAGGTTGTGGCAAAGAACAGTTGTTCAACTGAAGCCTTGACCTAGCTTTGTGGCACCGATGCGATTGGTGATGCAGGCTCTTACAAGAGACATTTAAGGTTCTGAATAAGCCAGTGCAAATTCCAAACAGCTCTTTCTTTCTGTGAAAGGTGTGAACTAGTCAAATTCCATTTAAAGCAACAGCATTCTGAATGAGGGCATTTTTAATTAGAAATATAGGTTTCATGTCTTCACTGGTACACAATTGTTTTAATTCTCTATAAAGTAGCTGGCTATACTTTAGTGGGGACTGTACTCCTGTGATGCAGCTATGAACTATAATCAGTAAACACAGATTAAAAGTGTTTTGACATAAGTAATTATCTTAGTGCTTATTTATCTTTCGACTTGCTTATTTTTCTGGAAAACCCCTGCCAGCTGTGATGAAAAAAAAATAAGACGAGAGCAATGAAATGGAACAAATACCTTTCCCCTCAATGCTGGTCAGTAAACGCTTTTAGAAATACTAATTTGAGGAGCCCTGCAGCGACCGCTACGTGCAGGGCTCAACAAGCATTGCATTACTTCCTCATTCATATCTCCTAGCAGGCAGTGGTATGAAACTTCTGCAGCATTAAACACCACAGGTGTTTTACCAGAAGCTCTCAGGCAGTTAGTGTGAATACATACCTATGTACATTTCCATGCATTGCTATACTGGATACTACTACTTATATATGCGAGTAAAGCATAACAAAATTTTACTGGCTAACTTTGCTGTCACTTTCCAGCTGGGGATGGGAGTAGTCTTTTTTCAGCGGCACCCAGTGATAGGACGAGGGGTAATGGGCATAAACTTGAACATAGGAAGTTCCATCTTAACATGAGAAGGAACTTCTTTACTTTGAGGGTAGTGGAGCACTGGAACAGGCTGCCCAGAGAGGTGGTGGAGTCTCCCACTCTGGAGACATTCAAAACCCGCCTGGACGCTGTCCTGTGTAACGTGCTGTAGGTGACCCTGCTCTGGCAGGAGGGTTGGACTAGATGATCTCCAGAGGTCCCTTCCAACCCTAACAATTCTGTGAATTCTGTGAATCCCCCCAACACACACTTTTCTTTTTTCATTCATCTCTTCTTTCTTCGTCCTTTCCTTAGCCTCTCCTAAGTCTTTTCCTTTCAATATATTTTCCTTATACAGTGCCTCATCCTCACCTTTTATGACCTCACCACGAAGACAGCTTTTCCTACTTGTGGCAGGCAGAAAAGAGACTCCAGCCCACTTTCTTCAGTATGCTGTTTGTTCTTAGCCTCATTATTATATTTATTTATACTTACTTAGTGTAGAACCTGACTTTACTACTGACAACAGCTTTCTGACAGCTCTTGAGGTTAAGGGCTTGCTAACAGTGATAATATCAAATTACCACATCTCAAAAGAAACTTATCAATAAAGTGAAAGAATTGTTAAGATCACCACAAAGGTTCTGCTGTGAAGTTATTCAGTGAAGCCTGAGCAGAAGACTGCCCAAAAAACCATAACTTATCTCTTGATATGTTGTTGAATTACAGAAATTTTGCAGCAAAAGTTCAGACGCAATACAAGATGTGCAGCAGCAAGTTTGCTTCAAGGGGATGGGGTGAAAAGATCAATCTAAAACTCTCTAGTTCCTCAATAGTTTCTTCAGTTCCTCAACTGATCTTTTTATAGTTCACCTTCTGTATGACCTAAAGGAAGAGCCACATTTGAAATTTCTCAAGTAGCGCTTTGCAGCAACAGTGCTGCAATACACCAAGGCATTGGATCAGATAACACATTAAGAGTAGTGGGTTTGTTGTTCTTCAAGCTGGTAAGTTAAAAAAAAAAAATAATATCAGAGTTGCATTTTACTTAGTTAAAATCTATGTTAAAGAAGAATTTAAGCTGCAAACACCATTTCAAAATGAACCATAACTGACTGAAGCCTATCCACGGATAACCTTTTCTACATCACAGCAAATGCAACATCGATCTCCTTAGGAACTGTGCGACAGGAGAGATTAAAGTTTAGTAGAAAAAAGACAAGCAACAGAATGCATAGTGTCACCTATTGAAATAATCCTAATACTGCAGGGTTAAGTGCTTGTTCATAAGAAAACAAGCAGAAGGCAGGAGACGTTCATGAAATCACCGCTCCTTAAACGATGCTCAAATAAACCGCAGTAGCAATCTAACAATGCAGTGAGCAAAAGGTTCCACAGGTCTGCCTCAAGCAGGAGTGACACTATTTCCACAGCCCAGAATTAGGCTCCTGACCCCAGAACTTCAAACCAGCACTAATAGTTTCCACTGCTTCCAAAGTTACCTGGTTGGAAATCTGTCCAACCTGCACTCTGCAAAGCACCACTTATACAGCATCATATTCCTATTCTCTGCACACTTACTATGACAGAAAATTAGGTAATGCACTGCAGGTATGTACGTCCAATATGCATTGAATGCGCTTCAGCGTTCACCGATAACAACATTGCTTTTGTCTAAGTGAAGTCAGTACAAGCCTACAAATCCAGGGACAATGCACCAT